AATGAATAATTATGCAAAAACGCTCCTGTACGAAATATATTTTTCAATATGTTTCCAAATGTGATTTGACGTTATCGTATTTTGCATTGTCACGTGAAAGTATTTGAAACGTTGAATACGGTTGAATACAGTTTTATGACATAATTTGCATGATGCGATGCATTACCTACGATATTATTAATTATACAAGATAAATTTTTTCTTTATAATATAACCATAATAGCATAATTATCTTCAGATTTAGCTACAAACATAAATTAGAAACGAAAAAGCAAAGCGGAAACAAAGAGAACTTCAAGCAAATCTACTAATTAAACTTTTTTTTTTTTAAAAGACGAAAAATATTATGGGACAGTCAAGCTATTATATATACACTTAAAATTTTTTCATGCTTTATTTGAATGAACAAGTCATTGATTATAATCGTAGGATTATTTCGTTTACTGCAAGTGCTCACTAAATGAATTAATAGAATTCATTAAAGTAATACGTTTATTTGAATTCAGTTTTAGGATTAATTTTGTTTTTTTTTTTTTTTAAATAAATTTATTTTTCATTTTATATTTTCTTGTTTAGTATTTCTTGAAATGATTGCATGTAATAATTTAATTTTCTTCCACCTCAATTTAAATATGCCCTTTTCAAATGTTAGTATTCAAAACAATAATTTATATAATTCTTATCAATAATTTGTTATTATGTAATGCATTTTAGATCATTTCTAATTTTCTAGCAAATCTGGTATTGTATAAAAATATCGGTTATGTAATACCAAAAATTTAGTAATTTAAAACTTCAAGTCTAAAAATGTTAACGTTAACTTATTTTAAATGAAAAAATTCAGCTTAGAATATCTGAATGATAAAAACTGCTCAATCCAATGTTCATTTATATTTTATTTTTTTAAATAAATTGTATCTATCAATTGCTGTTAGTACACGCACAAATTAAATTTTGAAAATTCAATATTTTTAATTATCACTACTTTAATATGTCATCATATTATTATCAAACGATGATTATTGAAATTTCAGTATGTCGACCGGAATGTGTAGAACGCGAAGGATTTATAGCTGTACGAGCACGCCTCAAATCCTATGCCATATCAGTTGGATTTTGTAGCAACAAAACCGGTAGTAGCAGTCAATCATTGGTTACGCCGTATATCTGCTATCGTAATGTTGGTGTTTGGAGACCTGACATACACGTATGCCTTATCTCGTCCAGCAATT